TCCTGGGCTGAAGCGATTCTCTTGCCTTAGCCTTCTAAAGTGCCGGCATTACGGGCTGAGCCACTGTGCCTGGCCATAAACATAACTTTTTCTAAACATTTGTTTTTTTATATTATATTATATTATATTATATTATATTATATTATATTATATTACATATATATTTTTTGAGACGGAGTCTTGCTTTGTTGCCCAGGCTGGCATGCGGTGACGTGATTTCAGCTCACTGTAACCTCTGTTTCCTGAATGGATTCAAGCGATTCTCCTGCCTCAGCCTCCTGAGTAGCTGGGACCACAGGTGCCCACCACCATGCCCAGCTAATAACCATCACTTTGGATGCCTAATATTTCACAAACCTCCAACAATAAGAGAATGGTTACCTTGGAACTATATATATATTTTTTGTTAACAAGTAATGCTGTTTTTATATAATAAATACATTTTGCGTGAGTGTAGCTTTAGGTGCCAGTAGAATTTTTTATATTTGCCTTTGTTTCCTTAGTCTAGTTTTCCTAAGTGTAACTACTGGTCAGAGAATATGGACATTTTTAATGGCTGTTGATACACATTGAGATCGAGAGATACATTTTTTTAAATCTGTGATTCAGAAGCACATGTATTAGTTGTTTCACCTCTGAAACAAAGAGCACATTAAGATGGAACTTAAAATTAGATCCATATTCAGAAACATGTAAATTTTTCTGAAAGTGGAAAAGGTCTAAGTAGTTTTGGCTTTTTTCCTAAAGCAAATAAACGATAATGGCTTTTCAGTAGTATTGTTTGGCTCGGGGCCAAAGGTGTAGGACCTTACTCTTTGATCTTGTGATTGTATGTCTGAAATCTTCTATGAAGCTTATGTACTGGCTCAGCAGTTGTGTAATACATGTACAATGGAGATTTTAAAGAGGAAAAAGGCAAATTTGAGATTTTTACAGTTGAGACATTTTTAGGGCAATGTTTCTGTTAGCTTACTCTGATAAAAATTCATTTTTATTTTTTAAAAACTTAAAAGATAATTGAAACACGTTTTTAAAACCTTATTGTGCAAGGTGTGAATTTTAAGGAATCCTATTTGTACGTTACATTAAGCTTTAGGAAATTTCTTTTGTTGATTGTTTAACTAAAAGATAACTGTTGGTTGATACTTAAGATACATTAATTTTTTGTGCAGACAGATGTTAGAAAAAGACATGCGTTGTGAAACAGATTTTACTTTTGTGGAATTGCAGCTGAGTTTTAGTTACACAGATGTGCTGTCTGCCTGATCTTAAATGGATTGCTTAATTTGTCTTTATAAGTTTACAAACTTAGTTGACTATATAGTAGAATGATAATTTAAGAGGGTATTATTACCTTTTCTAATCTCCGTGTTATAATAGAAGTCCCTTTTTGTCTAGAGACATGTATATTTAGGATTGTCATGGATCCAAAATATTAAAATCTTTCAACCCCAAATATATTTGTCATTATAGTCCAGCAGAAATGGATTCCCGTAAGCTTTAGTTCCAGATGAAGTAGCTAAAAGATTTTAAGTACTCTTCCTGGGTATTGGAAGAAAGAAGTGATGATTTTCAGGAGAGGGAGGTGATGCTGCACTTACCTTGTATTCTCAAGAGTCTTAGTTGTACTCAGATTTTTGTGACATACTTCTGGAAGTCTTGTTGAGTAGTTAACGTTGATACTTATAGCTACGGTATCATGGCTGTTTTTTAGAGATTATATAGTAAGGGGTCAGTGGTTGAAAGAATGAGTAAGAATAATTATAAAAGTCTAGAAAATTACGGCACAATACTGCCCAATGTATTTAAGTTTCACCATTCAATTAGTGTGACTTACTATTTTAGACTGGTAATTTTCTTCATAGTGTACTTTATGGATACATGTTAGGAGCTGTTAAATTTAAATGGTCCTACTCCTTTGGCTGTAAACATGCTGTTGTATTTGGTGCAGAATTCTGTCAGTTATTAACAATCATTTGTTCCCTTACATTAAACAAACGTGTAGAATAGAATCTGTGATCATTCTCTTTTCCTGGAGTCTAACTTTTCTACACTTTTACTTTCCTGTATATTCATCTTCATTTTTAGCCCCATTATATCAAAATGTGTTTCGTCAGAAGCAGCCTAAGTTGGCATATATTTTTTTGAGCCTGAATACTGAATATATGTAAAAGATAATCTGGGTTTCCTTTTTTCTTTTCTTTTTATTTTTTTGAGACTGAATCTCGCTCTGTCACCTAGGCTGGAGTGCAGTGGCATGATCTAGGCTCACTGTAACCTTCATCTCCTGGGCTCAAGCGATTCTCCTGCCCTGGCCTCCCAAGTAGCAGGAATTACAGTTGTGTGCCACCACACCTGGCTAATTTCTGTATTTTTAGGGGTTTCACCATGTTGACCAAGCTGGTCTTGAACTCCTGACCTCAGGTGATCCTCCTACCTCAGCCTCCCAAAGTGCTGGGATTACAGGTGTGAGCCGCTGCGCCCAGCCAATATCTGCATTTCTTAAACCAATTTCAGTTATACAATATCTGAATGTTCTGCCCATTCCTTACATATAGAAACCTTATTATCCATACCCAGCACTAAATCTGTCCGATCATCAGACTCCTTGAAGATGCTTATAACACCAGAGAAAATAACATTGCCATTTTCTGCCATTCTTACTTATTTTTCTGAATCCTTCTCTCCTGTGTAGACTATCCGTATCCAAGAACTAAACTTTCTAAGTAAAGGTGGAAATGTAATTTTTTTTTCCCCTTCTCTCCTCCATATGAATGTTGATTAGAGCTACACTGATCAGAAATTATTGTTCTCAGGGGTGAAATTAAGTCGGCCTACATATCTGTTTTTTTTTTTTTTTT